GGGGGGTAGGGAAGGTGGGGGATGGGAAAGGTGGGGGATGGGGAGGATGGGGATGAGGAAGGTGGGGAATGCGGAAGGTGGAGGATGAGGGTTTTGCCACATTGGCCAGGCTGGTCTCTAACTCCCAGCCTCAAGTGAGTCTCCTGCCTCGGCCTCCCAAAGTGCTGGGATTACAGGCATGAGCCACTGTGCCTGTAACACAGCGCCTCTTGCCGCTGTAACACATTACCACAACCTGGGTGGCTTAAAATATATTTTCTTCCCATTCTGGAGGTCAGAAGCCTACAGTCAAGGTGTCAGCAGCAGGCCAGGCACAGTGGCTTATTCCTATAATCCCAGTGCTTTGGAAGGCTGAGGCAGGTGGATCACTTGAGGTCCAGCTTGGCCAACATGGTGAGACCCAGTCCCTACTAAAAATGCAAAAGTTAGCTGGGTGTGGTGGCACACACCTGTGGTCCCAGGTACTCGGGAGGCTGAGGCACGACAATCGCTTGAACCCTGGAGGCGAAGGCTGCCTTGAGCCTAGATAGCGCCACCGCACTCCAGCCTGGGCCGTGGAGTGAAACTCAAAAAACAAACACACAAACAAAAACAAAACAAAAAATGGTGTCAGCAGCGCTGGCTTCTCTGAAGACTCATTCTGGTTTCCTTCCCTTTTCCGGCCTCCAGAGGGCGCCTGCGTTTCCTGGCTCGAGATCTATCCGTTCTGGAATCACTCTGCTCTCCTGCCTCCCTCTTAGACGGACCCTTATGGTTACATCAAGCCCACCCAAATCATCAGGACCATCTCCCCCTCCCCAAATCCTTCCCTTAACCACGTTTGCAAAGTCCCTTTGGCCATGTAAAGTCACGTATTAATGGGTTCATGGGGAGTTGGACGGGCACACCCTTGGGGGAGCATTATTCAGCCTGCGGGGTAGGGGTTGGCGCCTGGCCCTTTCAAGCCCCTTTGGCTTTGAGAAATAAGCATGTGAGACTTGCTTTTGCAGGTGCAATAAAGGTGTCTGCAAGAACTGTTTACTGCGTCAGTCAGTGTCACCAATGTAGCTCTCACCTGAAAGTCTTCGTGTTCAGGGCGCCACCTGAAGACTCGGCGGAATCTCTCCTCTCCGATGGGAAGTCCGGGCCTCTGGTGTGGCAGCTTTCTCCCGTCCAGGAGGCATGCATTCTCCTCTTCTTGAATTCCATTTTCCAACTTTCAATTTCCAACACATACAGGGTTAGGTTACATGTGGGAAAAGCCCGTGGGACCTTCCCCTGGTGGGTGCCACCCCCTATAACAGAGAAAGCTCCTAGTAGTTGTAGCTGCCTAATGAACGCTTAACCTCTGCCTTCCAATTTATTGGCGCTCCCATACAGATATGTGACTTTGCACTAGAGATCTGATATATGTATGTGTGTGTGCATATATATATATATATATATATTTTTTTTTTTTTTTTTTTTTTTTTATTATTTTTTTTTTTTTTTTTTTTTTTTGAGACAGAGTCTTACTCTGTCTCTGTCACCCAGGCTGGAGTGCAGTGGTGCGATCTCAGCTCTGCAACCTCCACTGCAAAACCCCACCGGAAGATACCGTTTCTACCTAGGCCAGGAAGAGGCAGTGGTGAGATGATGACTAGGAAGGGGGGTTAAGAAGGAGAGTTGTGTGGGGCAAGAATGAAAGCTCATGGCCGCATTCCTCAGGATAGAACTGCTGGGGGCATCTGTAGGTCCTGGGCAGAATGTCATGACCACCAAGGAGGAGGCAGAGGTGTTAACGGAGTCTAAAAATGAAAAGGGTAATTGGAGCAGGACCTAGTCTGGTTCAGGACTGTAAGGAGAAAGAACAGAATGAACTCAAAAGAAACAGAGGCAGGACAGGCTGTCTCACGTGGCCTGAAAGGGAGCAGTGAGGGCTGGGGCTGTGCGTGGTGGCTTCTGGTGCTTCTGGCACAACTCCACAGAGTGCCACTCGCCGGGGGACTGTCATAAAACTTCAATTTTATGGCACACGCTTTTTTTTTCTTTCCAACTTTTATTTTAGGCTCAAGAGGTACACATGCAGGTAAATTGCGTGTCAAAGGGGTTTGGTGTATAGATAATTTTGTCACCCGGGTAATCAGCATCATATCCTATAGGTAGCTTTTCAATCCTTACCCTCTCTTCCCACCCTCTGCCCCCAAGTAGGCCCCAGAGTATATTGTTCCCTTCTTCGTGGCCATGTGTACTCAGCATTTAGCTCCCATTTGTAAGTGAGAACATGTGGTATTTGGTTTTCTGTTCCTGTGCTGATTTGCTTAGTATAAGGCCTCTAGCTGCACCCATGTTGCTACAAAGGACATTATTTCATTTGTTTTATGGCTGCATAGCATTCCATGGTGTATTTGTACCACATTTTCCTTATCCAGTTCACTGCTAGTGGGCATCTAGGTTGCTTCCATGTCTTTGCCCCAGGCAGAGGATATCTTGAGCTCAGGAGTTCGAGACCACCCTGGGCAACATGGCAAAACTCGTCTCTATAAAAAATACAAAAATTAGCTGAGCATGATAGAGCACACCTGTAGTTTCAGCTAATCAGGAGGCTGGGGTGGGAGGATCACCTGAGCCCAGGAAATCCAGGCTGCAGTGAGCCAAGATGGTGCCACTGCACTCCAGCCTGGGCAATAGAGCCAGACCTGCCAAAAAAAAAAAAAAAAAAATAGAGTTGTTGAAATATTTTTTCCATTTCTGATACAGAAATGTAAGTGCTCTTTTCAGTAACAATATCTACTGGTAGCTCAATAACTGCCATATTTCAAAGTAATGATGAGCATAAAAGGTGCTTTGTGATATCTGCTACAACTGAAATATGATATGAAAATATCTGTGATTTCCACTGGTGATAAAGTCCACCTATAGGCAACATTACTGTGACTCATGGCCCACATTTATACCAGAAAGAAACTAAATTTCTGTTAGAGGTTGATGAAAATAACAATGTGATTTCTTTTCCCACCCAAGTTCACGCACTCCTTAACTATTATCCATTGAACCCAGGTTTGAAGATATAATAGTTTTGTTGAAATTATCTGAACTACACAATAAATTCTTCATGTTTATGAAAGATGAGAGATCATGTTAGCTTCATGTACTTGGCAAATGGAAGTTTTCCCAGTAGACACTAGAGAAATGACACCTACCCTCTGCTCCCCAAATGAAATACAAGTCCACTTCCTCCTGTATCCACAAGCTGTTTAGCAGCTTGACACATTCAGACTCTAGTAACCAATTCAGAATTTGAAAGGCAATAAAATAAAAGCATATTGGAAAACACAATTACTGGGCTCTCTTTAGCTATTTCACATTGTAGCTATATAAATCCAGAACAGATTAAATATCTTTAATGGATTCCTCCCAATATTCTGAAATAGAACTTCATCAAGAAGAACAATAAAAAAAAAAAAAAACTCCAGAATGATAGGGAAGAAGGGAAAATAAGCTAATATTTAATGTGACTCTGCAACATATAAGGCTTTTTTGCGTAATTATTTCACTTTATTCTCAAAAATACTCTGTAATTCAACATTCCTTTATGATAAAAAACTTTAAACTGAGAATAGAAGGAATCTTCCTTAATCTGATAGAGAGTGCCTACAGGAAGCATCATAGTGTTAAAATATTGGAAGCTTTTTCCTGAAATCTAGGATAAAACAGGGATGCCCACTATCACCACATCTATTTAACATTGTACTAGAAGTCCTAGCCAGTGCAATAAGAC